GAGAGCAACCTCTGGGGGAAGAGGAGGAGGAGGGGGGGCGTGTGTAAGCTCTGCCTGGAGGCGTGTTTGATATGGAAGAGTTTAGGGTGGGCGTTGGCCCATGGCTTTGGCTTTTTGGTTCTGGGATCAACCGGGGCCGGGGGGAGGGCTTGAAGAATGGAGACGCGAAGCTGTGCAGTGGGGAAAGGGAAAATGGAAAATGGGACAGATGATGATGATGATGGATCATAGGTGGGTTTGATTGAGGCTTGAGCCTGCAGTTTTTTCTTCTTCCTTCCCTCGCTAGACTGCCCTGGGGCCTGGGGGAAGAGAGGCCCTTGGGTGGCCCTGGCTGGTTCCATGTTTAGGTAAGACAGATACGTACACTTTTAACAGATCCTAGGGCTGTCTCCTCCGTGTTAATTCAGTCGGTTTAGTTGACTTGAGGGTTGCATCAGCCGGTAACGCCTGATAAATGTGGTTTGACATGATCTACGGATGGATACTACGCGATGTACGGATACCATGTGCATCAACAAGCAACAATCCCAACTTGTCAGATACACTGCTCAAATTGAAACAGATAAACCATGATATATTGTGAATCTTCCATATATCAACTAAATTAGCAAGCTATGAATACTGCAACGAAATACTATAATTTGTTCATCGCATATGTTGCAATCAGTATTACCACGTGAGCTGGTGTGAATCTCTTCAACATCCCAATGGCTTGAAAGTGACCTACCCTAAAACTCGAGGTTTGAACAGTTGTGTAGAGTGGATGCTCCAAATGCTGTGTTTACTTGATAGACATAGTCCTTAGTTTGGTTGGCGTAATGGTTACTCATCAAGTACACGATGCTGTCTGTCTTATAGTGGGAATCCTATAATGCGTGTCACTGTCCTTACTTGAGCTATAACACAAGCATGCTCTAACAAAGTGTAGGGATAAGCTCATCCCCATCTACGCTGTGATTTACTCCAATCTCCGAACATATATCGACAACAGCATTCATGTGGTCTACCATCTCAAAGACTACCCTGTTCATATGCAAGTATATTTAATGCGGTGCACAACGTGCAGCATACAACCCGGTCAGAGCAGTATATGCAGTGCAACTGTAGGTCGATTGCTATCGCATACATATTCCCAGACAAATAGAGCCCCGAGCTAGATCTTCTAACCATCACCTAGGGCACATATCTCGTAGTGAAAGCTATGTGGTACGACCTTATATGTTCCAGTCGCTTGAGCACGTCTTGGCCGCAGGAGTACCTACTTTTCTTATAAAAATGTTGACCCTCCCAAGGTTCATCAAGCCACAGCTATGAGTATTTCTATTTCGCCTTATCCAACATAGACTGTCTGAAACACCAAGTTGAATCGTGACGATATTCTGCCTTGAGCAATAGACGCTGCTTAGTCTTCTGTCTAGGTACCCAAACAAGGCTACATGCAGCCTCCGTCAAGCACCTCGCAGCCAGCTCCCGCTGCCGTTCTCCGAACGTTGTACCGTGACACATATGGCGCACAGCAGCCAAGCGCTTGCTTCCTTTCCCATCGCGATCGGATTCAGAGCGTTGCCGATGGGATCTGCAGCGATTCTAGCCTTGACTTTTCTTCCTTCCCCCCCTGCTTTCCCCCTGGTAACTTGAAAGGAACTCGGGCTGAGCGTCAGCTCTAGGTAGGCCCGTGGCTAATAATACAAAGCAACCTGACCATGGCCTGGCCTGGCCTGTGCCGCACGGGACAACACCACCCCTTCGACGCCCAATTTATGCAACTTTGCTTTTCTTCCTTCCTTTTATTGTCTGCAACTCTGGGCCTTTGTGTGTTGCGAACACCTGCTATGTCAGCAATCTTATTCGCCGAGCAGTCCAACGGGGAGGGCTGCCCGTATTGTCTCAGATTGTGTCAAATTGTGCGCCTACTACTCCTCCCACCATAAGCCATGACACTGCTTCTCTCTTAATTATCGTTGATAAGGATATACCTTAAATACGAGAACTCGTAGTGGAAAGAAGTCGTCCCGGTCCGAACCTATCTCAGGGAATCCGATAACCGGATATACCTTGCACTTGGTAGATTGGAGGATGAGATGAGCTTCGGAAACAGGTGTGAGTTTTTATGACGTGTTTACATATGCTCTTTGATGAAATACATGGGCCATTGAATATTATACCAAACGGGCTGCACCTGGGAGGAGGGAACTGCTCTGATGTGATGGAGATCTGCCAATCTGGTCAAGGCCCAACGTCTAAGTTGCAGTACGTACTCCGTATAGTTACGTAGGTGCTAGTAGAACCTGCCTAGGCCCTGCAGGACATGGCATGGGCGTAGACCAGAGACCTTACCTTACCTTTCATCCAGGATCTATCATCTCCCCACCCCGTCCATAGATCGCGCCAGCTTTCTTGGACTGCAGCCCCCCAAGGCCCCTGCCCCTGGTTCGTTCCCAGCCTCTTAATTCCCTCCACAGGCACTTGTGTTGTTTCAAAACCTACAGAGTATTCGTATAATTACTCAAGCTTAATCGGAGTTCAATTGTAGTACCAACTAGGTCAGTCAGATATAACTACATATAACTGTTAAAATGCCAATTACAGCCATTCCTGGATCCGTTCTTTACCGACTTTGCTCTGGAACCTTTACAAGGGGTCCGCTAACGAACACCTGACGACGGATGGATTTCTTTTTAGCAACTACCTACCGGCCCACTATGGGGTCCGTCGGTAACGAGTGCTCATGTCTTCTAGCGCGGACGTCAGGGAGCATCTAATCTCTCTTCAAACCCTTGACGGGTCTGCGGTCCGCATACAGAGTCATGTGACCCAGTATGCGATAACGCTACCAACGAACAGCGATAACATATGGTACTATAAATGCCTGAAACATATTTCATTTTATTCAAGATATCCATCGATGTTTACTAGTACAACTTCATCTGTCTTGGCCCAATTAGTATAGTAGTCTTGCTCATGGTTGGCTGAGCAGACCCATCGACTGACAAGGGCAACCTTTGCTACTCATACCAATCTCTATTCTTCTAGAACGATATCCGACAAGGTGTCAGTCTTTAGCGCAGTCGAATTGCTGCTATAACGGCCCAACATTTCCTTGAGAGAGTCCCTGTAGTTCATCATCATCATATATTCTTCACCCAATCTTGAATTAGCAGGGTCTCATCTCACAACCCACAACTGCTGTGAGATTAAGTGTCAATCACATTCCGACCATGAATACCAAGTACTACCCAAAATCACGCGCCACAATGTATTGTTAGTTACCTGGAGCACCCCTCGACTCGAAAATTGGCTGGTTAGGCTGCTTTTCAACAGCCACACGCAACGCAAAGCAAAGCAGAACTCCCTTGCCTCACTCCATAGCACACAGAGTGCACCAAACAAGGAGCGCATACCGTCTGCTTGTCTCACCTGCAACTAAAACCGCCTAGTCACAGTGATGCTGACTTTGTGCAATGATACATGGTCGTGGAACAAACAGTTACGATTATTCTGAGACTGGAGGGAAACAAAGATGCGGTGAAACATGTCCATCAATCCGTCTACAGGCTGTGTTTGGCATTCAGTCTAACTGCAAGTTTCTCTTGCTGACACATTGGTCAGCTACAGCCAGTCATGTTTGTGGTGTTGATATGGGTGGTCAAGATTGGTGGTTCTTCACTCCATTGCCTGTCATTATACAGAACACTAAGGCGTTGCAAGTGAGTACTCTTGTTTAAAGATAAAGTATAGAGTCTTACATATGTTTTTGACATGAAGCAACGATTAAAATATAGCACCGCCGCTATAAACCTCGTTGCCATACCTGTTATCATCTAGCCTTACCAAGTTCAAGCAGCAACAACAACAACAACACGGAAGGGGATGTTATCTTACTGATTGATCAAGCTTTAAGCATCGAGGATGGCACACTCTGTAGTCAATTGTCTCTTTCAGTCATCTCGTCCGGTATGTTGTCGGGTTGGATTTCCCAGGGCCTAATAAGAGACTTCCCGACGGATCTATGGCAGACAACGTAACATTTTACCTGACAACTAATTCGACAATACCGTGAAAGAACTTAAAAGAATTGTATAACAAGACCAGCCACATCTGAACCACTGTTGGAGAAATTTACCTACAGACGCAGGCAATGTCAGCTATGTGCAGCATAACAGGTTTCCTCGGAAACCTCTTGCCCATTAGATGGCTAATTCACACTACAACAATAATATGGTAAGTTATCAATCTTCGTTGTAAAGAACATTAGCACAGTAGGTTTATTCTTCGTTCCCAGTGCATGGGCCTATCTGTCTGATTATGTGGTTACTCAAACACTATGTTGATACTCAAGATGGCGGAATGTTTGCATCTACATCCAAAGCATTGAGCGTGAACCCATTCATATGATACTCTCACATGTATGCTTACGCTTCCCGTAGCTTTATATCTTCTTGTGCGATATCTTTGATATATCGCAAAAAGAGAAACTTGTCAAATAGACAAGCTCGTGTCGGTGGAGAGGCTCGAACTCTCGACCTTTGGATTACTCTGACCTAGGGCCAAATCACAGCTTCTTGCTATGAGACCAACGCTCTAACCAACTGAGCCACACCAACATTGGCTTTAGGATGTGAATCCTGTTGCTGTGATGAGCGGGCTTCGTGAATACCTTCAAGAAGTTGAATGTGGACCAGACTACGCGGAAGAAGAGGAAGAGTGCGCAGAAGAGTACTGGTATACTGATAGAGAGCTTTCCAATCTCAAATCTGATCATATCGACAAACATCTTGGCTATTCATTGAAACTTTAAATATATTGCCTCATTGTCAAATTCAGATACCGGTACCTTACAGTACTCGTAAGTTTCTGACATTGTGGCTTATACTGCTGTGTGGCTGCTGTGGGTATGTGGCTATCGGTGGGTCGTGTGCATGGCTACTCCACAGCCCCACGCAAAAAGAAAAGAAAAAAAGATCATCTTCAAGTCACTTCACGCAACCAGCAAAAGAGGATGTCGGTGGAGAGGCTCGAACTCTCGACCTTTGGATAACTCTGATCTATGATCAAATCACAGGGAATTACTATGAGACCAACGCTCTAACCAACTGAGCCACACCAACATTTTGATGGCTGAGAGCCTTGATAATGCACAATATATTCTGATTGATGCACACTGACACCTGTTGAGCAAGTTTTAACGACTATGGAATTGTCACCTACATCAAGGACCGGTATATGCCAGAACTCTATTCTGGTCGACGCTACATGGTATCTTTACGCGGGGTGCTTTTTGTTGGAGAAATGAAACGTGATCGGGTGGACGGAAAGACACGCCGCGAGCATCATCACAACATCGGGAGAATTCGTGAAGTTATATACGGACTTTTGTCGTATTTCGGTATCTTAATTCGCTTCGTAGTCTACTGAAGTGATGTTTGGATATTCAAGTGACTAATGTTGGAGGTGATTCGGCTTGTACAGTGTCACAAATGATGCATGTGTTGTTGAGTCAATGTGCCACTTGCATGCAGGGTCCTTTGATGTACCGTGCATGACCTGACGGTGAATTGACTCGCCACATATTCAGACCTCACTAACAGAAAATAAGCATCGAATGTAATTCGCTACGTGACATTCAAACGCAATTGTAATACAAGTCTAAGAGTCATAATGGAGACAAAAGAATGAGGCAAAAAGAACCGTCTTCAGGGTAGGCCGTAGCCCAACAAGGCCAATGACACGGTTGAACGGATCGACTTTTAGCACTTCCAATGACCCGCCAGTAAAAGTACCCCGCACCTCCAAAAACCGCAACCTTGACCCCGCCAACTCACCCTCTTGTCGCCTTCAGAGGCTCAGCCGCTGGAGCTTTAGGCTCAGGCTCGGCACAGGTGAGCTTTTTGCCGCACGCGCTAAGTCCCCCTAGCTCATTCCCTCTGACTTCTGGTGGCCGTCTTCGGAACCCGTACTGGGAAAAAAAGGGAAAATTTTCTTTGGGAAAGAGGGACCGGACCTTTACGGCCAGCAGCTGCTTCTTCTACTTTTACCTGAACCCGCCCGCATGCTTTCTAGTCTTCCTCTTCTTCCTCACTCACTCCTCAACCTCAACCTCAATCTTTAGAGAGACAACTTGTCTGTTTCTTTTCTCACAATCTCACCAAACTACCTCACAATGTCTCCCACAAACGCCGAGTATGCGCTCTCTGAGACGCACAAGGAGGTAAGCTCCCCCCACCATTGCCCCTCGTTACTGTTACGAGGGCATCGACAGATGAATTGACTCACACATGTCTAGATGCTCGAGAAGTCTCTCCTCGACTCCGACCCTGAGGTCGCCACCATCATGGTACGTCCTGCTGAATTGAACACCCTGCCTGTCCGACAATGACTTACACCCACCGCAGAAGGATGAGATTCAGCGCCAGCGCGAGTCCATTATCCTCATCGCCTCCGAGAACATCACCTCTCGCGCCGTCTTCGATGCTCTTGGTTCCCCCATGTCCAACAAGTACTCCGAGGGTTACCCCGGTGCTCGTTACTACGGTGGAAACCAGCACATCGACCAGATCGAGCTTCTCTGCCAGCGCCGTGCCCTTGAGGCCTTCCACCTCGACTCCGAGAAGTGGGGTGTTAACGTCCAGTGCCTTTCTGGATCCCCCGCCAACCTCCAGGTTTACCAGGCTATTATGCCTCCTCACGGCCGTCTCATGGGTCTTGACCTTCCCCACGGTGGACATCTGAGCCACGGTTACCAGACTCCTGCCCGCAAGTGAGTTTGATATGAGAACCACCATGGTACTTGAGTCCACATATGCTGACCTTTCATTAAAGGATCTCTGCTGTCTCTACCTACTTCGAGACCATGCCTTACCGTGTCGACCTTGATACCGGCATCATCGACTATGACACCCTCCAGAAGAACGCCATCCTCTACCGCCCCAAGGTCCTCGTTGCCGGTACCTCTGCCTACTGCCGTCTCATCGACTACGAGCGTATGCGCAAGATTGCCGACTCCGTCGGTGCTTACCTTGTTGTCGATATGGCTCACATCTCTGGTCTTATCGCTGCTGAGGTCATCCCTACTCCTTTCAAGTATGCCGATATCGTCACCACCACTACCCACAAGTCCCTCCGTGGTCCCCGTGGTGCCATGATCTTCTTCCGCAAGGGTGTCCGCTCTGTTGATGCCAAGACTGGCAAGGAGACCCTCTACGACCTCGAGAACCCCATCAACTTCTCCGTCTTCCCCGGTCACCAGGGTGGCCCTCACAACCACACCATCACTGCCCTGGCTGTTGCCCTGAAGCAGGCCGCCAGCCCTGACTTCAAGGCTTACCAGGAGAAGGTCGTCGCCAACGCCAAGACCCTTGAGAACACCTTCAAGACCCTCGGCCACAAGCTCGTCTCTGACGGCACTGACAGCCACATGGTCCTTATTGACCTCCGCCAGCACAACCTGGACGGTGCCCGTGTTGAGGCCGTTCTCGAGCAGATCAACATTGCCTGCAACAAGAACTCCATCCCCGGTGACAAGTCCGCCCTCACCCCTTGCGGTATTCGTATCGGTACCCCTGCCATGACTTCTCGTGGCTTCGGTGAGAAGGAGTTCGAGCGCGTCGGCAAGTACATTGACGAGGCTATCAAGATCTGCAAGGAGGAGCAGGCTGCTCTTCCCAAGGAGGCCAACAAGCTCAAGGACTTCAAGGCTCGCGTTGCTAGCGGCGAAGTCCAGAAGATCAACGACTTCAGGAAGGAGATTGCTTCCTGGTGTGGTGCCTTCCCTCTCCCCGTTGAGGGCTGGCGTCTGGATGCCGGCATCTAAGATGTACGGCACTAGAATCTACTGCTCCTCCAAAGGCTATCCATCCCTCAACATGATGTGATGCCTTTCTTCTCAACACGCATTTAACATGGATGAGGCAAATGGCGAAACGTTCAACAAGCATGCATTTCAACAAGGCGCAAATACCTAGTTTGTTTTTTCGGTAAAGGGCTTTTTTTCAGGTGGGGATATACAAGCATCCTTCAACATAGATGGATTCGCTGGAAAAAAGGAAGTGGGAGTTGGGTTATGTTTATGATATCTAAGATGGTTATTTCACCTTCTCTCCAGCTATATTGACATTCTACCTCCAAGGTATGAATTCAGGATAAGTTGGGATCTGCACTCCATTAGGGAGCAGCAGCAGACAACCAAAATAAATCAAAGATTAAATGTCTGAAAACTGTATGGTCTCATATCACTTTGATAGGCAAACTCATACCAATGTCGTAACGATTCGAGGCTGCTTATAGAGCACCATGTTTCATCAATTAAATATCCACACAAAGCCTGACTAACGAAGTCGTTGGTTACGTTTTGAAGCGATCCTTAACATTTATTGTATTTGCAGATCCCATGAAAATGCGGATCGAAGTAACCGTTCAAGCCTCATTTAATTTCCTCAAGGTAGTTTACACTTTGAATGGTAAACATCTTCACCTCTTTTTACACCTCAAATTTTTGTACCTTGAATGAATCACTGCTCACTGCTGTATTTATATCTAATTCTTGTCGAGCGTATATCCCATTCCATCTCATTTCCATCCGATCAATCCAAGTACATCCATCCGTCTCATCCATGACTGCTGTAACCTTTTCGTACCCAGTCCGCCCACTCAATTCACCCAACAAAACAAGAAATAACATAGTCCGTATATGATGGAGACGGCAGCTTGCTAAGAACCATTAGCTGCCTATGCCTCCCTCAATAGTATCCATCCAACGCAACCCTTCCCATACGCCGGGCAATGAGAAAGCCAATCCACAACACGTCTACTTTTGGTTTGACCAGGTGAAATCGAGGCAAGCCTGTCCGCATCCTACACCTCGTTCGACACTGGGTGTAGGTAGGTGAGCCAGGTGTATTCTCATGTGCCGTGTAGACATATGCTGTACCGACCTCCCCAACACAAAAGAAGAAAAGGGAAAAGGAGAGTCAGAAACGCCATGGATGGATACTTTATTGAGTGGTTATTCGTATGCAAAATAAGAGAGTAAAGAAAAAGAAAACCAAAGACCAGCTTCAAGGGTCGGTACAACATATCTGCGGGGGTATGAGAAAGCCGGAAAGGGCATCAAGAGTAAAGTAAACGCAGGAAAAAAGTAATACATGATTTGTAAGTAAATTCGAAAGGCATTGATTGATCGGCACTACCCGGACAATCTGAGACTGCGCTTCCACGCCAGAGATCCTCTTGGAACTAGCGACGAACTTGAGTCTGTATAAAAAACAAACTAGTCAAAGTTCCTCTTGGTAAACGTGAGTGAGACCTGTGGGTGGTCGTCATCTCTCATATGCTATTGTACCATCAGAAGCTTTGCTTGGCCTACTGAGCAATGCTTTCTGGGCTCATCATGCCGATGGTGTCGTCCTTGTCTGTTTGGCTGTTGTTGCCCTGACTCTGCATGCTGTCTTGCCTTTCCATGCTTGGAGCCAAGGCAAGAACTGCAGGATTAGGTGCTGAGCCAGTCGTAGCATTCATAGATTTCTTCTTGCCAGGGGTAGCGTTGGCACCTCCTTTGTCAGGTGATGCGTTAGCATTAGCTCTGGCTTCAGCAGCGGCGGCCTCCATCTTTTTCTTCTTCTTGGCGAGAGCCAGCTGCTCCTTCGGAGAGCGCTTCTGAGCAGTAACAATCTTTCCACTCGCACCCAAACGAGGACGAGGCTTCTTCTGTTTGGTAGGCAGGTCTTCGTCCTCCACAAGGGGCTGATCGCCATTAGCGTGCAGCTTAGCCAGGAAGAAGTTCTTGACCAGGCCAACTTGGTCCTGAATGTTCTCCTTGGTGACTGGCTCTGAATTTGGCAATGGGTCGAAGAGATCGGTGGCCGTCTCCCCAGTGGTTTGTGTCTGCATCTGGTATTGATTGCGGACTCGGGTTTGCAGAAGATGCAAGGGCACGGAGATCATATCAAGTCCCATCTCCTTATCCAGACCCAAAGCCCGGAAACCGAAGAAGTCTTCACCAAGGTCCTCAGCAAAGTCACCACTAACGAACTGCTCGCTGCCATCTTTGAAGGCTCCAACTCCATCAGCGCCAGCATCTTGTGATAGAGCAGGTCGTAACAAGTCCGTGAGG